GGAGCTGTTCTTCTTCGTCTTTCTTTTTAGCTTCCATTGCCTTGCGGAGCTGTTCTTCTTCGTCTTTCTTTTTAGCTTCCATTTCCCTTCTAAGCTCTTGTTCCTGCATTTGTTCTTCATGTTGCCTTAGAGCTTCCAACTGTGTGAAGAAATTTTGGACTTCTTCTTCCCTTCGAGCTTCAATATAACATTGCTGCCGTATTTGTTCTTCCCATGCCAGGTTGTCATCTCTTTCTGCTCTTCCCTGATTGTTATCCCACTGATGATAATCTTCCATCATTGCTCTTCTCTGACGTAAGTTTATCTGAAGATAATCATGATAATGATTTTTGTTTTTATTTCCTTTTTGGTTATGTAAGTCAATTGTTTTTTTTTTTTATAGAAAACGAATGAAAGATTTATAGTAGTTATTAACTTAAATATCACAATGTTATTGTTGTGGCACTGCAGGATGTTTTCTGTCTATTACATTTACAGTATGATATGTACCTCTAAAGGGTGATCCATTCCTTCTTCAGGATGTCTAGATTCCTGTAGTGTAAGAAATTAAAATGAGGATAATGTTTTTTCACTTAAAGGACGTTCGTTCCCAGGTCACACCATGTCCTGCGAGAGGAGACTAAAACTGCTATTGTTTCTAATTGAGATGGATCAATTGTAATTATTATAAATCATGTTACAGTGACAAAAACATTGTAAAACATGATTAGTGTTACCTGCAATGGCTGCTGTAGGAGATCATCATTCTAAACAATCAGAAATGCATTAACCAATAGATGTGAGAAAAATATGATGATACTGTATGTGATTAGGTAATGACATGTAGTTGATCTATTTAATAATTGCTGCTGTTTCTTTTTCTTTGTGGTACTGAAAGAACAGTCAGCATGCAGTTGACTGTAATCCATTAGTATACTACTAGTCTGTCATTCCCTAATGAATGACAAACAGAATTTTAACTTTAAGAATTGTAAAAAATTGTGTTGTTCAGTACACAACATCTTAAATAATATTGTTGTTGTTGTTTTTTTTGTATGACCCATCTGTTTTTTTTTTACACCAAACACTAAATCACAAACTAAATGTTCTAACAGTAGTGTATCAATAATATTTGATGTTATATATTTATTATTGTCAAATTCTAGTAGAGCAGAGTCACATGAACCATGAAATAAGAACTAAAAAGTACTAACTAATAGGCACTATTAGTTCCTAATAGTCGTTAGCACTGAACCAGAACACTTTATTTGATCCAATAAGCAATACCCAAGAGACCACTTTAACAATCAAAGTAATCTCTTTGTACTGTTCTGGTTCAGTGATAGTGTCTAAATAGTGCCTATTAGTAACTAAGTATTTAGTTTCTATTTCATGGTTCAAGTGACTCTGCTCTATTACCGGCCATTGCTGCCCCATGCAACTGTCATCACTGTGGATACTGTTTTCACCATCATCGTTCTAAAAATTAATAAGTTAATTTGTGAAATGCATGTCAAGTACTTTCTAATAACAATTATAGCTCTTAGTATTCACTCCAAATAGTTTTAGTATAGATTTCAATTGAATATGATCAGATCCGTTATAAATAAGCATTTCAATAGATATTGAATATCTTTTATTAAAAAGATGTGGTAAATCGGTTATTATATTTGTAGGCAATTACAGCTCCTTGCTTCGTTTTACAAAAAAAAAAAAAAACAACATATTTTGTGCAAGGAATTGTGAAATGATAACAATCTAAGTGATTATTGATAAATGTATCACCAAAAATAAACATTTAGGGCTTCAATGGGAATCGAACATCATGACAACATCTAGAATTCCGTTGTTTAGTATTATAAGAAATCATAAAATTTCCAATATTAATTGAAAACTGCATAACACATTTGAACTTTTTTAAAACAATAAAAAATTTTGAAGCACAAAATTATTTGAAAAAGTGATCATTATATTAGGATTTGTGCTTTTGCACCCTAGACATTGCCGTCATTTCTCTGTAATTCAGGATGCCGGACATATTAGTAATTGTTATGATAGGTCTGATACATGTATTGAACAGGAGCGGTCTCTGATTATCATTTTGACCCTCACAGGTTGAAGACTCCTAATTAACCAAAATGTAATTTTGCTGTCTGCTGTGGCCTAGCATTGTTTATGACAGTAGAGGATGATGCAATAGATCATGTAATGCATTTGCATAATATATGAAACTTGTCAAGAGCAGTGCATGCCTGGTGAAATTCAATTGTATTTGAGCTCAATTTAAAAGCATATCCTCACTTACTTCTTCTGCYCAGCCTGTTTCATCTGCATTCAAAAACTGAAACATAAAATCCTTTTATTAAATAAAAATTACTAGTAAGTTTTTTGAAGCTAACCTCACACTTAGCAATTATAATAAGTTTGATAACAGCAGGTATCATGAAAGCAGTATTCCGTTTGATTTTTTAATTCTTGATTGATTTGATTTTTTGATTCTTTTTAGATTTTGTATTCACATTATTGAATTKAATTGCCCTTAATATAGTATAGTCGTCAGTTGTAGAATGATATAATAATTATTATCTTAGCTATTTGTATAACTGAAAGTGAAACGTAGTTACCTCTCCAAAGAATAGCTGCAGTAAGATGGATTTGACAACTAATCCAAGCAAGATCCTGTAAAACTGTTTAAAAAATGCATATTGTTTAGGCAATGCAATAAAATAATAATGTTGACAATAATTCAGTGAATAACAAATAAAAGGTTAAAGAAGAGCTGTTAATTTCGATACACAATCTTGTTATCATGTTGTAATAGCTCTCTAAATTGTATTTCAGGGTTTTAATTATGCAGTCATATAAATGATCGAGAATAAGTACTTTGAAAGATGAAGGATGCGATTTTAATCGTTTATTGAAGAAACATTAAGCTTGTTTTACGCAAAGTTGAGAGTTCACGAAAGAWRGAAGGCGGAAGTAGCGAGGAAGAAAAGTAWGCACCATAACAACCTTCCGTTCAGCTTCCTTTAATGTCTATTTCTCAGTCTCCACTAATCCATTATATGCTTAAAGTGATAAATGAAACACTATTAAAGGTGTCAAACAGTTATCCAGTTGCCAGCTTAGGCGATTGAGGTTTCTATAAAGCAATACAAAAGAAGATAATTGAGCAATCAACGCTGTTCATGGCAACGATAATTCTATTATGCACACTCTTAGCGTCAATTTTCTGTCAAATATAATTTAAGGAGATAAGCTATTAGGAAATAAAACATCCTTGATCTTAGAGGAACTCCCTAGTTCGACGTTATAATTGTAACAAACCTATCATRTTAATTTGTTCGTTGTTAACTATGGATTGTGGTTTTGATATTTTGATTTAGCTCTTGTAGCTGATCACAATAATGCTTAGCTGCTATGGAGGAAAACGTTTTTTCCTGAAATCTGTCAGATGTAGAAAGACGGATTGCTATGTTCGGCCATAGTTGGTACAACGGGTTCGCGGTAGTTGCGATAGTTGCTCGTAAAACGGCCATTTGACACCTTGGTTTTATCGGCAAAGGTTAGAAAATGTCCTTAGTGAAAGAGTTTTAGTCGTACATTTGTTATGCAGTTGTGCTAAAATATATGTAATGATGCACTGTCTGTCGTAAAACATGGCCATATATTGTCGTACTTGTCGAGTGAAACCTTGATTTTATCGTATTTGACTTCATATTGAGTTTATTTTTACTTACCATTAACAGGCTAATAACATCATGTAAGTCCTGGGGAGACATTTTCAGTGTTTTTTTTATACACGAATGTGTCGCAGGTTGGTTAAAATACTGTAGCAAACTTTCTTGGTGGGTCAGTAATGATCTGTAGTGGATCGACGTAAGCCAGTGTGTTATTGCGCATGATTACAAGTAATAATGGACAGTTGCCTGTCATTCAGGGCATTGATAACAAAAATTGAAAATGAGATTTTACTTTGAGAAGATAAGACTAGTCTTATAGACTTTCCTCTCTTAACATTCACATATTACACACTCTCTAATGCGCTAGTCAATTGAAAACGCCGCTCCCCGCCAAATTTCCCGTTGGTCGGGGGGAGGGGATTTCAATTGACTAGTGCATAACATTACACGACTATACCATGGGGATGGTAATAGCAGGCGTGACAAGAGATTTTGAGAACCTAGGACTTCATTCAATTACATATGGAGTCACAAATTTGAATCGGCACGGAACCAATGGTGATACTGATGAAAATGATGGTAGAGGTATCGGTGTTTCCTTTCCAGTAAACGAATTTATCATACACTGTAAAACATGCCAACGTTAAGGTCGTCGGTCCTTCGTCAAAAATGCTGCCACAAAGGAATCAGTATAAAAAATTTTATATCTCTTTTACTGTAAATATATTATCGATCACAATAGTGAATGTTTTTTTTTATGTCGCCAGGCTACCTAACCTGACATTGAGGTGTATGACGTTTACTCGAAGGGCAAAGAATCAACGCCAGGGATCTTTCGTACCACGTGCTTTAACTGGGTGCGGCCCTGGGTAATCATTATGTCAGCGGATGAAGACAAATCAAGTCTCCCTACTGTTACCATTAACCGGATGTTATGGATGAGAAAAAAAGTGCTTGAACGCTCCTGATAAATTTTATGTTCTCCAACAGCCTTTAGCGCTGTTTCACCAATGAACCATACACCATCTGTTTCTTAAAGCTCCAAGAAATACTCGACTCTGCATCGTGTTTAAGCCAAGTCAGTTTTTTTCGGGTTTCAGACTTTTTAGTTGTTCAATTATATTAGACAAAAACTGTCATGTATCTACAGTGTTTCAGAATAAAATACTTTAATAACCCGAAGAGAATTCTTGTTTAAAAGTAGACTGGACTSAGATAGGTCGAAAGCGTGACGGTCGCCAGACGAAACAAATAACTTCACGTTCATGTTGTGCTATCGTCGCACCGATTCGACCCAAATACATCTGGTACGACCTTGATTCATACGTTGAACTAAATCAGTCATAAGCATAAAGATGTTTGGCAACACGCAATTTACTCCCACTGTTATTACTGCATTACGTTCGGCATAACGATAGCTCTACGTTTGAATCGGTGATGAATTCAGTTCCATGCAGTACGACTGATGATGCCATGTTAAAGTCGCGCGGAACGAACTCACGGATTCATACCCCGAGCTGTTTATGTGTGCATTCCAAACTAGTTGGTTGGGCGCAACGTGACAGCACGACGTATGCGGAATCGTGCCTAACAAGTACGCGAKCTTAAAAAATGCGCGAGGTTACATGTAAAAAGAGCGCGCAACTAAAATTACGGAAAACAAAGAGTGCCATCTACCTTAACCTTCTATGATTTAAGACGCGAAAACTGTTTCTTTGCAACGATTTTGTAATGCGTCCACCACCATATGAATCACGCGAGTATTGATTGCACTATAGTAAGTAACTAAGTTGCTTTTATGAGGAAAAGCCACAAATTGAAAAAATCATCTTTTTATTACTTTTTTACATAATCACCTACAATGACACAACCTATCCATGAAATACAATCTYATGTTTAATTGATAAACGGGTTCTCATTAAGTAAGAAGAGGAGATCAAGAAGAAAGGCGTGGCTTCCTTTACTGCTTCTGTAGTCTGTCAAAATATCACACAAGCTTCTAAATCTCCTCAACTTTACTATGTAATGCGAATAAATGTTCACGATATTCCATACGAGGGTTCAGTGACCATGAATYCAGCATTGAGCCAAGACGTCAAGGTACAGCGATAATAAAACTATAAAAACAAAAATCTTTACTCGGTGTTCCCTGTTGCCTTAGCACAGTGCCTTACTTGTGGCAAGTGAACCAGAGTATAGAACTGAAGTCTTATTCGATGACAGATACAAWTAAGGGAAAATATAATTTATTTTAGCACTAGTTTGTAATAGAGGTTATMTATCATCGTCCTGGCATTGATTCATTTATCAAGCCGCCATGAAGCTTCAGAAGACCTTTGATTCTACGAYTCAGTACTCGTATGAAACCAACCCTTGTTCTGTCTTTACTGTTTTCCTGGTGAAACAATAGGCTCCATTTTAGTAATYWTTCACTTTATTCCGAACTCKTTTTAATGTTGTACCTGCTCAAGCTCAGCAAGCTTCTTCAACAATGGTTCAGTCAGGCAGTTTTTGGCCTCTTGTTTTAACTGCAATATAATATCAACAATCAAATATTAAATTTATATATATCAGTATAATAAACTCATTGACGACCTCTCTAAAACATGTATCAATTTAACAAATTGTGCACGGTTTTGATCTGTATAATTGCCGACACACTATGACTCCGGCATAAAATATACAAAACTCAAGTTGACCCACGAGTACAGCGATCAATAAAAAGACATGCAACTCAAAGCCATGCGCAATTTGTTCATTATATTTTATCCTTGGAAAACATCTTATATTCAATATAAAGAAAATGTAATATAGAGCKGCATACCGTTTCTATTTCTTCACGAGTCACATGATCACCAATAACTGTCGTTTGATTGAGTGATGAKACATTTGAAACATTAACATTAGTCGACCAATCTGAAATGACAAAAAAAAATTCATAATTAGTCTTTTTTTCGCTTTTTATCTGTGACTACTCTTCTATTATATCCCATTCATTTGCCAAGGCAAGGTGAGTTTTCTGATATTGTTTGTATTTACCATGTAATTTTCTCATTTTCCCAGTTACATTCCCGGGATGCAAGATGCTATGTTCCTCATCTGATGGGATGCAGCGCAGGAAGTAATAGTCAAGATGTCGCCACAAAATAAACATGGAATTTTCAATTATATCTACGATATAAGTCAAGGACTTTTTCTTCAAAATTATAAAGCAAATCAACTTTTCATGACGATTTAGAGTAATATTATGAAGTAATATTCAAGTTAACTGCGGATTTCCCTTTTTTAATCCCTTTCTTTTACTCAACCAATTGTTCACATTATTTTAATAATAAAATAAAATTAAAAAATAATAATAAAATAATAAAAATAATGAAAAGATACAGAGATGTGTGTCAACTTCTTTCTTCTTGAAGGCAACGATCTGATTTAGACATTTCTGTGCCAGCTGTTGTCTTTGATGAGTGGACAGRTTGTCTTGTGGAGTGACTGATGCTTGCAGCTGACAAACCTAAATAATAAAAAAATATTTAACAGTGAAACATCAGTTAAGCCGGCCACATCACTCAAATTACCTCCTTGAGTTCTTCAGTGGTCAATTCCTGGATATTTTCAAGCTTCATATTGGTTTGTTGATGTGTCTCTACTGCCTTCACAGCACTATTAGCACATTCTTTTACCATCCCTACTAGTATACCAAGACTAGGTGGACGATGGGATGCCARTGGTGGAGCACGGAAACCTACAGAAGAAAACACAAACACAACAGTGTAGGGTGGTCAATGRAATGTAGTAAAGTATCTTGTAACCTTGTGTAGTACACACAACTTTGTCATAAAACTCACGGCTAATCATAAGAAATGGTAGCCTGTGTAGCAGCCCACAATGATCCCAAGAGGGCCACTACAGAGGCTAAATAAATGGATAAATCACATTTTGCATTATTTTTGTAAATCAAAACTCTTGTGAAGTACTGTACTCACTGTCTCTTCGAGGTCTTGTTTCACGAGTCGATATATCAGATATATTTGGGCCAAATACAACATGATATTGAGGGCCAGCTGATCCTAGAAAAATAATGTTTCATATGGGTTTCTGCTACGTTATGGTCTCCTGTGTCAATGCAGTTATAAGGTACTGCACTCTCAAAAAGCTTAGATAACACTTAGTAGTTATTATCAAACCTGCAGCATCGACGATAGTTCTACAATATCCAATGACATTAGCACAAATCTGCCGTAATTTTAAACCAATTTCTAAGGCAGCAATGCTGAGCTTGATGTTGGTATTGTCATTTCTCTCTGGATTCTGCTCTACWGTTGACTTGATAACCTGATTAATACAAATATTGGGGTTAATATATCAAGGATATAAACACCCATGCAGTTCGTTACTGTAACTTTGCTAAATTTAATACAGTGGCATCTCATTGCAGTCAACCTCATTTAATTAAAGCAGCCGTACCAAAAGGTTCTGAGTGTGGATGCTTAAAAGAGGTGGCACTGTGTCATAAAATAATGTCAGTCACTGACAACTACTGGGGCCTGCTGTTGTACAAATGTTGTACAAACA